TCCCTCCACTAGGGTCCCTGAAGGAGTGTCCTCTGGCCTGGATCTGGGGAGGAAGAGCTCTGTCGTTGGCTGTTGCTTCTGGGAATGGGTTTTCCTGAAATCCCAGGGACTTCCCCTCCCCATATCTGCAAACTCCTCTTTAATCTGGGCCTCCTCGTAGGGTTTTCCGGCTCCTGCAGCTAAATGCACTTGGATCTTTTCATTCTTAATCTCAAGAATGCTCATTCTACCATGTTCTAGTGGCTTCCACTCATCCCCTGGCCATAGGGACAGTGGTATTAGCTTTCTCTACCATTCCCCAAAATAATCACATAGAGTTGCACACCATTCAGCTAGAGGAGGCCTCAGAGACCACCCATCCCAAACTGTTTTATACATAAGGAAACTGAGGCCCAGAGAGGGCAGCTGACTTGCCCAGGCTCACACAGCAGTGAATGGTAGCACTGGTACTGAAATTAGGTCTCGACTCCCAGTTAGTGGTTCTTTCAGCTACAGCAGACCAGACGGCCGTGTCTTTCTTTTCTATATCCTCTTTCTGACTCTTCCTCTTCCTTTCCTTGTCTATTGAAATATTTCCTTTCTTCCCTTTGAAACGTCCTCTCTGTGTTAAATAAGACGGCTTGCATTTGGTGGCACCAAGACCCCTCTCCTAGCACAGCCGTCCTCAGTCCTTTTGAAAAGCTTTTCTCCTTCCTGGTCCCTCATCCCCCAGGATACTCAGGGACCCTGTCTTGCCCTCTCCTGAACCAGCCTTTTCAGCTCCTGTTTCTTCTTCCAAGTACTGAGGAGGCAGATGGAAACCCTCAAGGAATTGGCTCCTCTCTCTAACCTTAGTTTCCTGGTCCCTAAAATGGAGTGAGGGTCTCTGAAGGGAAAATATGGACATTTGTGTATGTTGGGTGTGTGGGCATGCATGTGCGTGTGTGTGTGTGTGTGTGTATGCGCACCTCCCATGTCTCCCAGCAGCTCCTGGGGGTAAATGGGCAAGTTAATTAACACTAGGATGAAAGGTGCTGTGGGATAATTACAGGTAACATCAGGATGGCTGGGAGGGTGGGGTAAAAGCCCCTTAGACCTCCTGGGGGGTGGGCAGCCCCTTGCCCCACTCCTGCAAAGCAGATCAGACAGCTGGAGGGGAGAGGGAAGGAGCATTCTGACTGAAGGGTCTTTGTCTTTACAGGGAAATGCTTGTTAGTTGCTAAGGAACCAGGTTGTTTTTCCTGATCCAAGCTCCCATTGTTTGCTGAGCTTCGGAGGGGATGCTGGGCTGGGGCTTGAGCATCCCTTGGCAGTCTGCCTTTTCCCCGGGGCTGCCGGGACTCAGATGGGCCTCTTGGGAAGGACTCTCATCTGCAGAGGGTGGCTCTTTCCATTACCCTAAGCCTTACTACTTGCTCCAGCTGAGCTGGGGAGCAGAGCAGGTGAGGTGGAGGCAGAGATGGAGAGGAAAACTCGCATTTACTGAACAGCCTGTATGCCAGGCATTGTCCCTGGGTGCCTTCTGTGCTATCTCCTTTAACCATTGCAACAGATCTTTAAGGAAGGCACTATTTTCATTACACTGTTTCTTGTGGTTGAAACACAGGTCCAGAACAGTTGAGTAAGTTGTCTAAGGTCACAGGGTTCTCAAGTGGTAGAGATTCTATGTGAATTTAGGTCTGCTAAGTTAGAAAAGTTGTGCTTTTTAAATTACATGATCTAATGCATCTCCCAGGCTTTCTTCCTATCCTATGGCTGCTCAGCCTAACTCCTGGACCCACCGCCACCACCACCATGAGCACCACCACCATGAGCACCACCACCACCAGGACCACCACCACCATGAGCACCACTACCACCACTGCCACTGCCACCACCGCCATGAGCACCACCACCACCACCAGTACCACCACCACTACCACCATGAACACCATCACCACCGCCACTGCCACCACCACCACTGCCATGAGCACCACCACTGCCACCACCACCACCACCATGAGCACCAGCATGAGCAACAGCAGCAGCAGCACCACCACCACCACCATGAGCACCACCATGACTGCCACCACCACCGTCAGCAGCAGCAGGAAGTCTTTCTATATGGCTATCTCTCCTTTTGCACCTCTCTTCCTTCCCTAAGACCAGTTATCACTCAGGCGAGGTTGAGGTTCAGGACAGAGAGGGGTGATTCCATGGAGTGAGGGTGGTAAATTGTTGGGGCAGTTGCCTTGGGCAAGTTGGGTGCTGGGGATGGTAATGGCCTTGAGCTGGGCCAGGCCACTGCTGTGAGTGTCCAGGAGGTGGCCGTCCCCACAAATCACACTTGGTCTTGAGTAGCTGAAGCTGAGGGAAGGGAAGACGCTTGGGGGAGACTCCCTTTAAATTCTTCTAGAACTTCCAGCCTTCTTCTCAGCCCACCCGGCTTCTGAATAAGTGCTAGAAGGTCTGGCCTTTATTTTATGTAGCCTAGAGAGTAAAACCAGACTACCGTTGAGTCCTAAGAGTGAGAAGGCTTGAGTTAACACCAAATTCCATCGTTACTAGTTATGAAACAGGGAGTGGGTTCCTTAACTTATTGGAATATCAGTTTCCTCATCTGTAAAATGAAAATAATAACACCTACATTTTCAGGTTGTTGTGACCACGTGCGAGACTCTGTATGAGGCCCCGCAGGAACGCATTAGACGAGACTCCACGTGTGGGGCATGTGGCACGGGGCCTGGTGCGCAGACAGTGCTAAGCAACTGGTGTGTGATGATGACAGTGATAATAATACTATCAGTTCTCCTCATCCCTGTAGAGGGGTCACTGATGCTCCCTTACATTTGTCTCAGCTGCTTCATTAGAGATCTCGAAGTGATCCACATGCTCATCTGGTTTCTCCCTGGTGGAGGCAGAGAGAAGAAAAGGGGCAAGAGGCCCAGAGTCTTCTGCAGACAGTGAGCCGAGCCCCGGGTGGGTTTCCCCAGGGTCTCCCTGGCCTCCAGGGCTCCCCTCCTTGCCACTGGGACCTCCTTCTCTGTGGCTTCCAGGGACTGGCTTCAGCCTAGAGCCTGGGCCAGCTTTGTTCTTTTTTCACGTTTTGGGGTAGGAGGGTGGGGGTCTCTTCTGTGGCTGAACTAAAAGCCCAAAACACCAGGGGAAAAGAAAGGAGGGGGAAACAAGGAAGGAAAGCAAGCCGATAATTTCCTCGAAGGATAAACATCCGATTTTTTTTCCTCACCCAAAATAAACATGCTAGCCACAAGGAATTAAAAGCAGAAGAGGGGAGGATGTGTCTCAATTTGGGGCTGCTCTAGGAAGCTGACCTGCTATTTATCCCAGCCTTGGGCACAAACGGAGCTGCCAATTACACTCCGGGCCTGGGGAGGTGGGGGCTGGGGGGAGTGTGAGGCTCACACACACGCAGAACTTCTCTTCTGAGGCTACCTTCCATGACACTGCAAACGGACACTTCCTTTTTGCTTCTTCTGTTAGCTCTGCTGACAAGCATGCCTGGTGGGGTAGGAGGGAGTGAGGAGTTCCTACTGCCTGGGCTGGCATCAAAGGCCATTCTAGAGAACAAGAATCTGGTGTCCATCACCTGGGTAGGGAGCTGAACCTATCAATGCAGTGGAGAAGCATCGTCCAATTCGCTCCCATTCACAAACTCAGTCTCCCACCTCATTTTGTTCTTCAGAGCCCCACCATTAAAATCTTCTTACTAGTTAAGAATGTGCTCAGCTGGGCTGAGGGGTTGGCCAGGCCCCCCTGTCTTCCAGCTACTGAGGGGCATGGCTCTCAGAAGGTACTACCCCATGCCCAGCTGCAGCCTGCCCCTTGCATCTGGGATCTCAAGGCACTGTGCACACAGGAGTCACCACAATTGCTATGTTCTAGCCAAGGAGAGAGGGGTTATTAACTCTTGGAGGGAAACTGAGTGGAGGGGCATGTTGAGGGGGTGGGGGGCTGAGAGGACTGGTGTTGGGGTGGAGGAGTTGAGGAGCTGGGGTTTAGCCAGAGAATGAGACTGTAGCAAGGAGGTCCCTCCAAGGGGTCCTTGGGTGGGAGAGCCAGGAGACACCCAGAGGACGTTAAGGGGAGTTAGTTGCTGAAAAACCTTTCCTTGCAGACACCAAGGAGTTTCTTCATAGCTTTTTAAAAGCATAAATCAGATTGTGCCCCTCCTCCCCCTCCTCCCCCTCCAATCTACTTACTATTCAGTGATTTTCCACTGCTTTCAGGGTACCATCAAAACTTGAACATGGTTGCAAGGCCTGGCATGTTCTGGTCTTTGCCCATCTGTCCAGGTGGCCACGCTATTGGCCTTTCATTTCCTGGAAGATGCCACCCATGTCCCTGCCAGCCATGGGAGCTCAGAAGCATTGTTCCCTCTCTTTGGCATGCTCATGACAGTCTACCCCTGTCCCCACTCACAGTTAATCCCTACCGCACTTTTCAGCCCTGGAGTTAAACATCCCATCCTCTGAAAGGCCTTGCCTGAGCCTTCACCACCCCTCCTCCATAACAAAACAGGTCCCCTCTACACCCTCAGCAGCTGTCACATTTGTTGTAATTTGCTTGTGGTCGTCTGATGAATCTCTCCCTCCACTACCGACTGTAAGCTCCGTGAAGCAAGCCTCATGTTTTGTCTGCCCTGTTCACACACGTCTCCCCAGCACCAAGCAGAAGAGCAGGCACACGTCAGGTGCCGACAATATTTATTGGATGAATAGTGTTGGATGTTGGGGCTGGAAAGGACCAGGATGATAACCCAGCTGCCGCCACCTCTTCTTCCTACCTCAGTGTCACCACTGAGGAAGCAGAACTTTAGAGAGGACAAGTGCTTTGCTCAAGGTCACATGGTGCCTCAGTGACAGTTCAGGGGTAGGGATCGCCACCTCTGCCTGTCTGTCTCTCCCACCCCACTCCTCCACCACTTGCATTTACAGGAAAGCCCCAGCCCGGTGCTGGATCTCCATTGATTTCCTCTTCTTGGTTTTTGAAGGAGGACAGGTTAGGAAACAAAATATCCCACCAGTAAGCCCTGGAGGATTTGTTTTTAATTTGGAAGAGAAGGGGTTCCATACCAGACCATCGGTTGTGGCAATGGGGACACACACCTGCCGGGTGAAGCCTGAGGTCTGGTGGGCAGTTACGTAGGCTTGGGTTTGTCCTTGGGCTCACTGCTTCCTCCTCCAGGAGCCTGGAGAATTGGCGAGTCCTGGTAATTTTGGGTCATGAACTGGGTGCTTGCTTCAGGTTCGCTCAGGTGGAAGCGGTTCAGAAATCTGTCCATTTTCCAAGAACCTGGAAGGACAGACAGACCACAGGGAGGCAGTGAGTGAGAACCGTGGACTTCAGAGCTGGCAGAGGTGACAGGGAGTGGAGACAGCAGGTGATGACCTCGGCCACTGGGCTGAGGGGACAGAGTGCCTGGGGTGCCTTCTGGCTCTTGTCTGCAGGGGCTGCCCCTGGATGTCAGCATAGTGTTTGGGAAGGGACTGCTCCTCAGAAGACAATGGGGACTAGGAGTCTGGACTGAGTCCAAGACTGCATTAGGTCTCCTTCCCCAGTACCCTTTATTTAGCATAACTCTGCCTTCTCATTCACATGCAGAAAGGAAATGCCCATCAGGTGGGTTGCCCACTTCCTCCACACACCCCTCTTTTCCTGCAAGCTCTCCTGACCCCATGCTTCTTTTCTTCATGCCTGCTCACCCCAGCAGCTGGGGCTGAGATTGGCAGAAGTGTCTGTGTCATTCTTTCAATCTCTTCCCCAGGACTCCATCTCCTCAGAAACCCATGCAACAGCGTTCCTTCCTTGGCTGTGGCAGAATTTGAGGGGCAGGGCATATGACCAGGGCTCCCTGCCCCTGAGCACCTGGTTCCCGGAAGGGAACAGAGTGTGGGCGAGGTGTCCCCAAGCTGGGGCCTGGAGAAGCCCAGTCGGTGCCCAGGTCAGAGGGCACCTTCCTGAAGGGGAGAAAACAGAGGGGCGTGGGAGGAGGGGCATCTTCTGGGGCAAGTATGAACAGGCCTAGCAGCAGGGCAAGGAGGGCACAGCCCCGGGCACTGGGGAGAGGCTGAGGGAAGAGGTCAGAAGCACATTCCCACACTCTTGTTTCCCAAACCCCGGGCCTCAGGCACCCTCGGCGGATGGTTGCCAGATAAAATATAGGACGCCCAGTTCAATTTGAACTTCAGATAAACAACAATTTGTTAGTCTAAGTACGTCTCACATATTGCATGGAGCATACTTATATTAAAAAATTATTCCTTCTTTATATGAAATTCAAATTTAATTGGGCATCCTGTATTTTTTTTCAACTTTCCCTGGGTGGAGGAAGTGCTCCGGGAAGACCTTGCCTTGGAGCAGGGCTAGGCAGTAGCTGAAATGCCCTGGACTGATGGAGAACAGTAATCTCTGACACACAGAGGGAACAAGGCAAGGGCTGGCAGCCTAGAATTCCTCTCAGAGCCACCCATTTACCCGACTGTGGTCCTCTGTCTGCACCCACCACCCTTTTTTTTTTTTTTTTGAGGAGATCAGCCCTGTGCTAACATCCGCCAATCCTCTTTTTTTTTTTTTTGCTGAGGAAGACTGGCCCTGGGCTAACATCTGTGCCCATCTTCCTCCACTTTATATGGGACGCCGCCACAGCATGGCTTGCCAAGCAGTGCGTCGGTGCGCGCCCGGGATCCGAACCAGCGAACCCCGGGCCGCTGCAGCGGAGCCCACGCACCTAACCGCTTGCGCCACCGGGCCGGCCCCGGCCCCCGCCCCCACAACCCTTTTTAACAATGAAGAATGCAAGTCTATTGAAATATTCTTACTCTATCATCCCTTCCCATAGGGGCTGTTTGCATTTCAAAGATGTTCTCAAGGAGAAGACAATTTTTAATCTAAAGAAGCAAAACAATAATAATGATAATGCAAATAATAACAATAGCAATAACACACCTATATAGTGCTTCCTATGTGCCAGCACAGTTCTAGGAACGCCACATTCTCATTAATCCTCACAAGGGGCTACTGCACAGATGGTGCGCCTGGTGGGGGCACAAGACCAGGTTCTGGTGAGGAAGCTTCTTAGGGGTGGGGAGGGAGGAAAGGGCCTCTTCAGGTTCCCTCAGAGCCTATCTGGCTCGGTGACTGCATTCAGATTGGACCTGTGAGGGCAAGGGCTGGAAAACGGGAGTTTCAGGAGTTCTCCTGGGGGAAGGGCTGCCGGGCACGGAGAGAGCCTCTCCTGTTTGGTAGGTTGCTGCTGGGTTGAGAGGTGTGTGATTGACTCCTGGGGGTCTTCCACTAGGAGGGGCAGGAGGGAGGAGGTGCTGTGCCTGGCCATGGCCTCTGCAGCCAGGAGCCTGGCTGGCTGGAAAAGAATTGTGGTCTCATGACCCTGGGAGTGTGTGCATGTGTGTATGCTTGTATGTGTGCATGCACGCGTGTGCATGTGCACTCCAGGGAAAGGGCTCATGGGTGACTGGTGTGTGGTAGGCATGGGGACAAGGGAGCCTTCCCTCGCTGAGTAGGGCAGGAAGGAACTCTGGTGGCAAGGAAGGAATTGAAACTCATCACGAGATCAGGGCAAGGTGGCGGAAAGAAATCCCCTGCGCCCTGAGGGAGACCTTGCTCCCCTCTCACAGCAGTTAGCCCTCCCCTAGCTCAGAAGACTTCCGTCAGTTGAGCTTAGAGTGCCCCGGGGACCTCACAGCTCCTTCCCGTCCCTTCCCAACAACCCTGTGGTTCTTGGGCCTCTTGGGCAGCTTCTCAAACCAGGAGAGCGGGCACAATGCCGCCGGCTGCTAGCCTCCTGCTGCCTCCTCCCTTGGCTTGGCCAGGACTACTTACACCCCCGTTTCCTGCCACAGAGGGCAAGAGGAACTGACCCTGTGCAAGTTCTAGAAGGAAGAGGGGTGAGTCAGGCCCTCAGGGGTGTGTGGGGAGAGATGGGGAGCTAGGAGGCTGTGGCTTCCGTGGTCACCGCGTGGAGGAAAGCCCCATCCTGTATGGCACTGCGTGGTCCCCTGATCTGCAGGGAGGCACTGCCATGCAGGAAGAGGGTGGTGCTGCTGTCTGTGCTGGGGCCACTCCCCTCGTACCCTGGGGCCTTCCTGGGAAGAGGGCAGGGGTGATGAATGCGCTTCAAAGGCCTCTGTGGCAAGAGGCCTCTGCTGGAGGGAGGAAAGAGGATGGTGTGTGATGCCTGTCTCCTGAGCCACCCAGTGGTTGGAACACAGAGGCCAGGTCTCCTCAGGGTGGGGCTGCTGCATATGATGTGCAGGTGGGTCCCTGCACAACTGTAGGGGGCACTGTTCTCATCCTGTAAAACCATACACAGTGGCCATGCCTAGAGGCCATTCTCTCACTCACTGGTCGATGCTGATAGGGAAGATGTTAGCAGTGGGAGATGTTAGATGTTAGAGATGTTCCAGATGTGGGCCAGGGAGAGAGTTAGGTAACCTTATCTAAAGCCATCAGGGGTTTCTGAGCCACCACTGTGTGCCTGATCTCCACGTGACACTGGGTGGTGGTGGTAGGGTGGATGACCCCTGTCTTCAACAACTGGAAGAGAGGCTCCAAGTTTTCAGAGACTCCTCCTCTGAGTTTGAGTTCCAGGGACTGCAATGGTGGGAATGTTTGGGAACAGCCCCAGCGCAGGTCTTGACAGTCACTCTCTCTACCCCAAGCTTCCTAGATCTGTGGGGCTGGCTTACCACTGTTTGAGAGTGGTTCATCACACGGGATGGACAGCCCTGTTGGACCTATTAGGGTTAGACAGGCATCCAAGAGACAGAGAAAGTGATGCTCCATCTAGTCTGCTTCCCCACCCCCTTGTAGGACTCAGGAGAATGAGGTAGACAGTGCCCCTGCTGGGATGTGGAGGCTCTGAGCTGAGGGGAATCTCAGACCTTTGGGACCAGGGACCCCCAACACTGACAGCCACCTCCTGGGGACTGCCAGGCTTGGGGAGGAGTTGCTTTATCCAGGCCCTACTCCTGCCCTCCACGCGTTTATATATAAGGCAGTTAGCACTGGGCTAATAACAAGCTAGGCCTTGGCAGCACAATTTGTAGCCCCTGGAGGAGGAGGCCCCATTCTCTCCAGCAGGCCCACTCTTAAGACTTCCCAACAGTGCAGGACAGGGCTCCCTGCATGTCCTTGCCCTGGCCTGGGGACATTTCCCACCTGACTTGTCATTTGGTCCTCAGTGGGTGCTCAAGTGTTTCCCTCTCCGCCTGGGGAGTGGGGGGTCAGAAAGCACCCACTGGGAGGGAGGCCCCCCTCCAGGTGGGCTGGAGAACAGAGGGCGGGGCTGTAAGCTTTGAGGCTGCCTCCTCTGAGCTGCCTCCTGAGCCTCTGCTGGGCCCCGGGGTGCCTGGCTCGAAGTGGCCCTGTCCCCCAAGTGGGTCAGCTGCGTCTCACCAAGATGGCCACCCTGTCCCCTGGCCTCCCCCTAATATCCCCCTAGGCAGGGGCACCACTGTGTCTTGTCAGGGGACAGGGCCCTGAAGAAAAAACAAAAATTGAACGCCAGCCTAATAACCGCCCCACTGCGTGCGGGCTCCGGTCTGTAATTTGTCTGGCTCTGCGCGGGGCTGGTGCAGTGATAGAAGCGCTGATGCCTTTCCGCTGAGATTAATGATATCCTGGCGGTGGTAGGCGGGAGACCTGAGCCTTTTATTTTTTGTGCCATTAAATGACATCAAGAGACTTCCACTCAGGAGCTGAAAAGCCCTCGTTCCATCACATCCAATTACTCCTGGAGAATATCTGCTGAGTGGCTGATCCTGCTGGCTTGAGGGGTTCAGGGCAGAGGGGACCACTTTGACTTTGGCGGGGGAGGGAGAGCAGGGAAGTGAGGGGGCGTTCCCAAGGTGGGGAGGAGTTACCCCGTCTGCTCTGGAGAGGAGAACCGAGAATTGGAGAGTGGAAGTGCAACTTCTAATTATCCAGCAAGTGGACCTCCAGGCCTCCTCCTTCTGTCCTGTGGCTGGGGGTGGGGGTGAGGAAGGGAGTGAGAGGAGGGGAGACTTGAAACCGTCAATTTAAGCTCCCGATTATCAATTTCAGTATTTGGTGGTGGGGATAGTTGGCTGGAGTTTTGGGTGAAATTTGGGGATTATCTGTGGTTTCCCAATGATCTGTCCAATATTGCTTTGGATGGTTGATGTTGCCTTGACTGGGGCATGCTTCTTGAAGAGGGCGGCCTGGGGCCTGTGCAGATTGTAAGCAGTTCCTAGCCAGGGTACCTGTCTGAGAATTGCCCAGGATGGCCCTACCTGGGCGCTGCCAGGCCTCCA